GTATTATTTATATTTTAATGGTATCAGCTTGGTTTCTTGAGTAGAGAAAAGGATTTGGACATTATCCATCATTAAAGTGTAAAGTGTCTATTTGCGATATTTTCCAAAATACATGGGGTGAGATAGTAGACAGGTTTCAAAGAAATATTTACTGTATTTCTACCATTTTTGAAAATATATTATCTGCTATTTTACGAGTATTGGAAACCCTGAAGAAGTTATGGATCTACCTAGCAACTACAGTTACCTGCTGTACACATTTCGCATAGAATTACAAGATCCCTTGGTGTTTGTCATACTTCGTTGGATATCTGCTGGTGTTGGTATCATTGCGAACTCCATTGTCATATTTGTATTTCTCTACAACAAGACTTACAAGAAGTCTGTGTCACTAAAATTACTTCTGCATCAGACTGTGATTGACTTCATCGGCTCTCTTATGTTTTTGATCTTCTACAATATTGCTGTTCCTAATGGCATTGGTGGAACCATATTCTGTAAAATGCAATCTTTATTCCACTACGCGTCAATAACATCAACATACAATTTTATTCTGCTTACAGTTGAACGATATATTGCTGTCGTCCATCCATTATTCTACCGCCAGAAATCCTTAGGTGGGAAAATGACATACCTCTCGTTCGTAAGTCCTCACTTGTGTGGTGTAATAATAACGATATGCGTCCCTATATATGCAGACATACATGAATACGTAACTGAGTGTACAATGGACAGCATAAATTCTTTAGTTGCTACATTTTTAATTATTTTCCAGTGGCTGATACCTCTTAGTATCATGCTGTATTGTTACGTACAGATGCTGTTAAAATTGCACAAAACACGAATGATTACCCAACAGCCTTTATCAAAAAGTCAACCAAGTAATGGCAGGCAAGTTGATATCAAGTCAAATTTGTTGACTACCCTCTTCTTAATTGCATTTATTTATATTGTTACAATGACTCCAAATGCTGTTTTTTCATTGATGTACTTCATAGGCCATAGATTTAATTATATATTCCATGAGGTGTGTTTACTGATGCAAGATTTAAATCTTACCATAAATCCATTTATTTACTGTATGACATACAAGGATTTTCAAAAGGGACTTCGCAAGATCAGAGATGACATACTTAAGCGTTAGAAGACCTACTGTAGCATCAAATGTATTATTAACCAAGACATTAATATGAATTGATGTACTGAATAATTTGCTCGTAGGTGTCTCTTCATATCGAGGGGTGCAAGGGGACTTAATGTTTATGGATGTCAGAAGAGAGATTAATAAATATAATTGTTATAAAATTATTTAAATATAATGTAAATATTAGGATTCGGAAAATTCAATAGTAAAGAAGTATGCATCGATAAGTTTTGAAAACGCTGCATAAAATATATTCCAAAATACTATGTATATCTGCTGATCGAAAATGGTAACCAACAATCTTCTGGTGTACTGTACAGGCTTTTGTGATATACGAATCATTGTACTTGTCGAGGCGTGGTCGAGCTCATACAGTAACTTCCTCCTCTTCTGAAGGTTGCTTCGTGCCTGAGCTACCTGGTAAAGCGGTACCAGATACTCTTGTCTACCCACAGCAGGGACTGTATGGAGCTGTACATCAGAGTAGCCCCCTACTCTCCTTGGAAAGAAATGTGTACTTTTAAGTGCACATGAGCCATTGGTACGCTGGGCTTACAGTTTATATTCCTTATCTGAGAAGACTTGTTCCACCAGAATTAGTTAGTGTGCCGCTTGAACCAGCACCGATATTATTTCATTTCTTTCACTTTTGCCAATTTCAAATACAAATACAAAATATTTTGAAATACACATGGCAATAGAAGGTTAAAAATATTATAAAATATATAAACAGTACATTACTTAAGGAAAGTTAATGTATTTTACAAGAAATAATAATAATAATAATAGTAATAATAATAATAATAATAATAATAATAATAATAATAATAATAATTAAAAGTTATGTAAGACAACTTGTGATAATAAGTATAAGTACATCTTTTTAAAAATGCTACTATTATAAAATTGCTATATAAATATGAACTTTTACAGCAGCTTTTCTCCTTGTGAACAGCTTATAGCAGACTTCACAATTATATATTTTTTTCATCAAGAACTTTTCCTTTTGCTAGCCATAGCAATGTGATTGCGAGTAATCATTTGTACCATAGAGTTAGTGTAATGAATGACATTGTGCATCATCATTGTAAATAATCATAGACTATTCTATGTACAGCTTATGAACTATTTTTGCACTGTTTCATTGAATGTGGACAATATTTAATAGTGTATGTGCATAGACAATGCTGGTTTTTTTTCCTGAATCATTATAAACATTGATTATACAGTTAAACATGCAACATGGATCTATTGCAAATAGATTCTTTACAGAGCTGAATACTGCTCAACAATTTAAATGTTGATTTTTGAATGCATGTGTACTGTACAGCCGAACATTGCTGGACAAGGAGTTATGATTTTTGCAGGCATCTGTATACTGTAGCCAAATACTGCAGAGCAATTTAAATTTTTTAACGAATTTGTATAGCTGAGTAGGCCTACTACTGAAGATTTTGACTTTCAGCTTGAAATTTTCAAAGGACATTTTCAATCGGACATTGCTGAACATTTTAATTTTTTAAAAAGATTGTACAGTTGGAAATTATTTTAACATGTACAACCAAAATGAACTGTACATTCATATAGTGTGTTGAGAAGAAGTACATATGATGTATATATAACATTGTTTTATTGCATTATTTTATTTGTAGATTTAAGTGTTAGTAATTAAGTGTAATTAAGTCAATAGTTATAGGGAAACTGTACTAAATATTATAGTGTTGATCTTTACATATTATATTACAGGTACAGTAACATCTTCCAATTACGTACTCCTCCATCCGAACAGAGTTCGTAATGAGAAAATTCATGATTCAGAAGAGTTCTTTCTTTATTCTTCATGGTATATTTCATTCAACACAACACAAAAAGGAGAAAGCAATGGACAAAAAGTGAATTGAAGCCATTAAAACCATAATAACCATTAAAATTAAGAAAATGGCATTAAAATTCACAAACAACATTTAAAAATTTTAAAGAGGATATAAAAATTGTTCAAAATGTTTATAGCATTATAGTGTGGTGAGGGTAGGCCTAGGACAATGCTACAAAGTACAGAGCTAGGTAGGCCTAAGCCTTGCGATGGGAGCAAAATTTTGTCACGAAAAATGACTTGGATTTTACTGTTTTCTACAACAAAATAAAACTTTACAATTACAGAAACAAAAATTACTTGTGCTCACTGTGAAGTATTCATTTAAAGTGATTTCCGAATGAAAACAGGACCATAGAGGCCAAACCAAATGGTATTATCCATATGAATAGTACTCCCTGAACAAAAAGCGAGATTTACTGTACAGTATGCCTGAACAAGCATCATGCACAGCTCAAATTTCACGGTTGACATTTCTTGCTTGAAACTGTATTTTTGTCACTCCATTGGTTTAAATGTTTTCTTTCTTAGCTGATGTAACATCATATTATTTTTGAAGACTTTTAAATACAATTTTATGTGTATTTGTAGTATAAAACAATCATTTGTAATGACATCATCGCCGCAAATGGGGTTCGTACAATCGAGAGTTCGTATACGGGAGGTTCATAATTGGGAGATGTTACTGTAATTAATTTGTAGAAGACTGACATACTCTTTTCATTGGTAGGGGGATGTGATAAGTATTAGGTAGTTTTCACCGCATGACGTTAACCCTTTAACGTTAGTACCCAACATGCAACGTGATAGCTCCGCCCCCTACCTTTAAAACCAAATTTAACACATGAACTTGACCAGTGTATTCAAAATGACCTGTGTACTTTAAGAGCTTTTTGAAACTTTTAAATAGACAAATTAGAAAGAAGCATTTTTTTGATACTTTGAAATAGACAATTCAGGGGAAGCATTTTTTAAGAGTGGCAAGTTTAAACTTCGCAAGTCAGAGACACAAATTTTGTTTGTGATTCTTAAAAATTTAGCCAATCTGAGGTAACAATAACAATTTTGAAAGTGCTATAAAAGCCTGTTGGCTTTTAAAGAAGGGGAGACCTCCACTTTAAATTGTAGAGAAACATCTAGTTTATATTCGGCAGGGACATCCAGTTTAAATTAAGCCAAGATATTCAACTGCTCGTGAAACTGGCTGAAAACATGTTCAAAGCTTGAATGTGATTGTATAATTGGTACATATTGAAATGAATAAATATTATAGTGTAGTAAAAAGGAGATGGCTCAGTGCAATTTGTTTGATTGTGAGGTCATAAATGAAGACTGCTCAGTGGCCAACTGAAACACAACTCGTTATTAAATTTCACATTTTCGTGGCATTCTAAGAATGAACTTCTTACTATCAGATTGCCTGCATGCACTATTTTATGAAAAACTGAGGATGATAGCACTGTAGCACACATGATCTCTTGGGGGCCATAAAGGCCACCGAAGCGACATTAATAGACCTTGATTAGCTTTTTTCAAGAGGAAACAAATCCATTGTTTAGATACATTCCCAAATGCTTACATCAAACTCTTGAATTTTGTCATGAAAATAAACACTGGCATTCACAGATTAATATTCAATATCTGAAAAGCAATTAAGATTGCCGAAGCTACACAAAACAAAAGCTATCAAATTGTTAAATTTGATATTAACAACAAAACACTGCTAACATTAATAAACATATCTAAAATAAGTTGGTAAGTTGGGGGCCCAGGTTAGGCAGGAATCACCCTGCCTTGAATCTGCCTACACTAATCTGAAGTGCAATGACCACTGTGCAAAACTTTGTAGGCTTAAGTTATAATAAATAATAAAAAGAACAATACTACTATTATCAATAATAATAATAATAATAATAATAATAATAATAATAATAATAAATATTATAGATAATATTGATAGAATTATATTAAAAAGGATTTTACCTGCACTTGAAAAAAGTGTCCCATCTTCAGGAGGATTTCCTTTGCTTGGTTATGTGTTTGATCGTCATATATTCCAACCTGGCAAAACAAATTATAATTCACATAGAGTTCATGCACAACCTAATCTCAGATGGAAATATTAGTTAATAACATACTGTAGGAAAAACAAAGCATAACTAGATTGAAATTCGTCATCAACAAATTTTAGGTGATACGCAGGATCCGATGGTTTTCCGCACCGAGAATATTTTTTAATGCCCAAAATTGTCTGAAACATGTTTTAAATTGGTCAAAGAGTGACAAAAAGTCACCTGCAAAACTTCAGATACAGATCTATCTAGCCAAATAACAAGGATATAGTACCTGTGCTGTTTTTGAAAATAGCCATGAACAAAAAATTGGAGAAAGAATAAAAAAGGAGAAATAATTAAATAAAGAAGAAAAATCTTAAGAACAACAATAGGTGATACGCTGTAGCAGCGTATCACCTAATAAAATTATATTTAAAATACACACCTTAATGTTAGTATAGTTCAACATACTTTAATAATACTGCATTAGGAATATTTGAAAGCTGTTATCTTAAAACCTCTGAGGCAAATATTCAGAGATTCATTTCATAACTTTCCTAACTATCTCAACCAATTCTCATCAAAAAACAGTTAAAAATACATGAAATTTAAAAATACATAAAAAGCCAATTTTAATTTTCATTGCAATACCCGCTTCTTCTTTGGGGTAGGATTCAACACTTGGCACAGACTTGGTGGTCTAGTGATGACACCAGACTAGTTATCTGGAGGTCGTGGGTTTAATTCCTGTCTGAATCAATTGCAAATCGTTTACGTACATATTTTGGAATGTACTGAGTATTCAGGATAACACATCCGGTAGGGTAAAACATCACTCCCATGAATTTCAACAGCAGCTATTTTGTCCAAACTGAACACATTTATTACACTTTTTTTTAATAAGAACCAGTAAAATTTTGCCAAGGCTCAGTGTATTTGGCTGATTTCTGGCTCGAAATGTTCTTATTTTGTTCTTATTTTACACACTTTTCAAACACAGAAAATTATATTAAACAGATACTACTGTAGATAAAAATGGCCCCTGAAAAAAAGGCACCAGAAAAAATGGCCCCAGAAAAAAGACCCGGTAAAAATGGCCCTAATGACAGTTACACCTACTGTACTGTAACCTCTGCACATTGTATCCCATTGCACCTCCTAAAACCAAGATCATCCCCTAAAATGCCTCATATACCTTAAAGCAGCTTTAGACACCACCAGCCAATGCGCATCTTAAAACATTGCCTTCAATGCACAATACTATATAAACAAACACTAAAAATAGGTTCTTCAGGAAGTAAAAAAATGACTCAACAAATTATATTATCATTATAGTAACAGCAGCATTAAAGGGACTATAACATTTTTTCAATGATGATACTGTATTATCTAAATGTTGCATATTCTACCTAAGGTGTGATCTGTTTTAGACCTTGTTTTGCATACTTATTTTTTAAAGATCGTCAGAGGAATTTTATTGGAAAATGTAAACAGTGTTACTGTAGTCATGGGATGGTTAAATGCTTCAAGTTTAGATAAACAGGAAGAAACATTAAAGTCTTATTTTTGAAAATTTCAAGGCAGCGGCAGGTGTAAAACATTTTTTTTTTTAAACTTCTTACTTTTTTCTGAAATTTCAATTTTTTGTGGCAGTGTGTGCGCAAATTGACCAGAAATAACATTTTATTTTTATTTGAATTCATCATTATTGGTGGGCGGCGGGTTGCCTAAACCATGGAGTTTTATTCCTCCATGCCTAAACAAGATATAAAAAATTCAGTAAAGGCAAAAACCCAATGGCTAAATATATATTTATAAACCTCTCAATTACCAATGAAACTGAGGGAATCAATAGACCCTCACTTGAGAGTCCACTGCATTGATGTATACAATGGTATGTGGCAATGTAAACAGACTAAGTAATTGGCCTGATAAATGCTTTATGTTTACTAAATTCTGAGATGACTGGGTGGGCAGGAAAAACAAAAAGATTTTTTCCCCCTGAAATTTCTATTTTTTTTTTTTGGAAAGCTGGATTTGCTAAAAGGCCGAAAATCAAATTCATGGTATTATGAAACAAAAAATGTCTGGCTTTATATGCAAGAGATTGTGGCTATCTTTTGTACCTACAGTAATACATCACTTTCATTGTAAGAGAAATTACTTAATATTGTCCATTGTTTAAGGAAAAAAGAAAGTGTAATTTATAAAAGGAATTATTCTTTTGACTACATGCAGATGTTTTACTTAGGATAGTCTGTTAAAACCTAATGGGTAAAATGATACTTATCTACTGTATATTACAATTAACCTTTTGGCATGTGATACTTAAGAGTAGCAGTTAAGATCTTTTAATCCTGTAATTAATCTTCACTAGATACACCTGGCGGTGCTAGTGTAAGGTCTTGTCTATAATTTTCAGTAATGATCTACATTATAATATAACAACAATAATATTCATAAATAATCAATTTTGTGCATTCCCTACAGAACTGTCTCCATTGCTAATATAAACATTCTGAGCATTGTATCTTTTGATTGGTTGCAGACTTTCATTTATGTAAAACACTGATCTATCCAACAACTGTGTTAATATTTTTACACTTGGCACTTCATAAAAGTATGATGTTATTGATTCAATATAAGTAATGTTAATAATGATAGACCACAGGAACTTTGTTCAAATGCCATAAAGTTATTCTTGACACTGATAATGATGATAATACAGTTGAAAATTACTAGCTATTTTAGAGTATTCTCTCAGCTCACTTGATAGTGCCCCAACTTTCCAAAAATTATTGTTTCATGTTTTGTAGTTAGAACTTCTATTTCCCAAATTAAAACAATTAAAAAATACAGGTCTCCCTCCAATTAAAGACTTTTCTGTGGTCCCAAACTAATAAATGCCTTTTATCTTTATTATTCTAATTAGAGACCGAAGTTTGGAACCACGGAAACTTCGGTCCCAAAAGTGGTCTTTAATTGGACCTGTATTTTTGAAGCCCAAGAAGGCATCTTTTTTGCATCAAGCAGCAAGATATCATAAATGGGGAACTGACGTGGGTGTCATCCTTTTTCAATGCCTCTCCCTCATGGCTTAAAAAAGATCTACACAAAATCATATGATCTCAGGAAAACAAGATAAATTCAGTAAAAACATAAGAAATACAAAAATTCAAAGCATTTGTATTTACTTACAAGATACAAGGCAAGAGCTACAGGCATGTAGAATGAGTAAAAGCCTGTCTTCCACATCACAATAGCATCATACCTATTGACAAGAACAGTGTTGTAATTATTACATGAATACATAAACTTGTTCAACTAATCACACTAGCCGAGGCTAGTCCCTTACTAGGCTAGCATAAGCCTAGCCTACCTAATATTATCATACATACCAAGTCTCACGCATTCGACGCGTGACTCGCGCATTTGGGGTCTATCTCATGCTCTCACACTTAAGGACCAAAATCTCACACATAAAATGTAATGCCTGTATTATAAAATACGGGTCTCCTTCCATATAAAAACCCCTCTAATTAAGACCACCAATTAAAGATTCACTTCGGCAGATCCGGTTGTAATGCCTATATTTTATCATTAGCTGTTCCATCCAATTCAAGATTCACTCTATTTAGAAACCAAAGACCATAGTTTTAGTGGACCCAACTGAAAAATTTCCCTCCAATTATTAAAGACCACTATAAAATATATAGTGATGTTAATACAATTTTTCTGTAATAAATTGTGTTATATATGACTTACAAATAGAAATATTAACCAATGCACTGTTTTGTGTACAGTGTTTTGTGTATATTGAATACAGTAACAATAATGTTAGTGACAATAGTAAATGGAAAGTTGCATGTCTGGCTACCATTAAATGTTTTATTCAGAATAAATAATAGCATAAACTAACTGTACATCCATTTAAAACATTTAATGTATTATTTTTTAACTTCCTTCTAAATGGAGAAATCTAAAGACCACATATGCCCAGGAAGTCTCCTGCAGAGTCCCAAGAATGGAGTCTCCTGGAAATCGACAGGAAGAACTCCCGCCAGCAAGCAAGAATTTTTCGAAATATATCATCTCCTGCTAATTCATGATGATATTTGCATGCTTTTAGAAGTCTTATACTACTGTATTATGAATCTCCCAACAGTTAAGTGCCAATCATAATGTTATCACATGCACAGAAAAATATATTTAGATGTTTAGAAAACTCATTTAAACAGATCTCTCGGGTGTGGATTTTCCAACTTCGGACCTGTTGAGTGCCGGTCTTTAATTAAATTATAGGGATTCTAATAGACACCAAACACCATGGTTTTTGGTAGACCAAATTGAAAATGTTTTACTAATTGTAATTAGACACAATGTGCAAAGCATCATGGTACAGTGACTCTTAAAAGGCCTTGGGAGAATGCTGGACAAAGTAGACCAACAAAGGATCCTTTGGTGAAAGATTTCTTGATATTATTTTAATGGAGGTCATAGCCAGTGGTGTAACAATGGGGCTTGGGGCCCTGTAGCTTTCTGAGACTGGGGCCTTTTTTGGGCAGTCACCAATTCTGTGATATGCTATTTTTTTAATCATGTTTGTCATTGTATTCCAAATATTTTTAACTGCCCTTTTGGGGCAGTCACCAATTCCGTTTGGGGATTTTAGATGTGCTCGTATTTTATATCAGCGGTTGATCTAAAAATTTGATAGGGAAGGAAGGAAGGAGAAAGGGGGAACTTTAACAAATGGAGGGTCTATACCACAGTCCCACCATGGTTGGTGTGGAGGTAAGAAAATTAATGATTATGGCACTTCTAGATGATTGGAAATGGCACTCCATTTTAAAACATGGTGACAAATTTTGGGGGCCCCTGGGCTGACAGGGCCCTCTTTAATCCGGCACTGGATAAAGGCCTACAATGAAATACTGTATGTCCTACCATCAATGTCAGAGACACATTGTGCTATGTATCAACAAAGCCCATTTGGGTCATGGTGCTAGATCGAGGACCCTATGGATGGGGCCCCTCGGGGTCGGGGGCCCTGCAGACCACCGCACAAGAGCGCATGGCGTTATGCCACTGGTCATAGCTATTTAGCATCCCTAAAAGGTTTTTATATTCAAGTATTTATGCTTTACCTTTCCTGGGTGAATCTGGTCAAATCTGTATTGCCAGTCGGTGAGGTAAGAAGGTCAAGAGACTGACCAACTGTAGTCTGCTGCAGCACCTGTGAACATGAAATAAGGAAGAATATTATTTAATTTAATTATTAACAAAGGGAGTGGAGAAGTGGCTTTGTGGTTAAGATACCATCTTTTAATCCCCCGAACCTAGGTTCATATGAAATACACAGGGGTCATGACAGAAAACTAAGTTACATCCCAAGCAATTATATACAAATATATGACAGTGTATACATGCATGTCTATGTATTTCAGAATCTTACCTTTTCAAATATTTCCACTAGATACATATAACATGGGTCATCCCTAAAGTTATTTCTCAGAATTGAGTGGATACTAGAGTACAGCAAGAATGCATCATTAAAACCTGCAAGTCCAACACCATCCTGCAAAATGCAAATATATTATTTTGTAAACTGCAAAAGATCATTAGACTACAGTATACAACAGTTAAAGATACTATTTGCATTAAGCTAGAAAAATTCATTTATTCATTAAGGAAAATGCTTGACTTTATTCAATACTCTTGGATTGCTTTAGTTTATATACTAAAATATGTAATTAATTTTCAAAATTATAGCTTCATATTTTTCTTCTATTCTTTCTATACACAACTTAAAATTGACTGGCAAAAAAATGAAGTGATCTTTGTAGCCAAAGTGTGTAATTCAATGAAAATGTTGCTTAATCTGTATCTCAGTATGGCATAGTTAATTTTCTGGTTTGGTACATTTGAGAATCCATTGCTTTAGTGGTTTAGTAATTTTGGAGGTGTTTCGAGATCATACAGTAATAATTAATCACCGTACATCATATTTCCATAAGCAATTGGCAAATCGCCACTGCCAATGCCGTAGCCAGGATTTTCAAACAGTGCGGGACAATATCAGGGTGGACTCACTTTACGCATAAATTCAAATAATGTGGACCAATTTTCTTAAAAGTTCTCCCATTTTACGCAAAAAAATGAATAATCTGGACCCATTTTATGCAAAAAAATCAGAAATCTAGACCCATTTTTTGAAAAGGTGACCCATTTTACACAAAGTATGAGAAATCTGGTGCAATTTTTAAAATGTGGACCCATTCTTTGTGGACCCAATAGAAAAATTGTGTGGGACTGTCCCAACTACGCTACTGCACTCCTTAGCAACAATTCCGGTCACTATGTAAATGTAAATGATTGGGAGGGGGTGGGGAATGCTGAATTGAGTCTGACAACAAAGGAATACTGCATGATCATAATAACACCATTTTGCTAGTCAACAATGACTTAATGACTCTTGTGAGGGAGATTACCTGTAACTAACTCCCCATGTATAAGGATACCTACACATAGGCCTACCATACACTATTTTCACCAAATTTGAAATGAAAATTTCCGAAAACCTAGCAACCACCACTGGGGGACTTCCAGAAGCCTAGCATTTCAATCTACGTAGTTACCATCATGAAATAATTAAACCATAAAACTAAATTACTAATGAGCATGAATATTTGAAAACGTAAAAATAATGAAATGTTTATATTAAAAACAAGTCTAGGTCTTAAAAAGCTATTTCAATGTTTAAATATTTAGTAATTATCATGATCGAAAGTGCTGTCTACTGCTGCTATAGCAAAGGTCTAGCGGCGCGATGTGCTCCGCGGTGCTCTATGTAACTAGCCAGCTACTCAGGCTAGGCTGTGGAAGTCCTCCAGTGAGTTGTGAAATATTGGCGGAGCAGTTTCAAAATAATTCTGATAAAATGTTCTAAACTTATATCAAAATTAAATGAAAAGGATTAAAACCACTTGGACTTCATATTCAAAACTTATTCCTGCGCATTGTAAAAAGAACATCTGATTATTGCCGTGTTTTGTGTTGTGTAATTTTCCCTGTGGCCATTTCTTTTTGTTGCAATATTTTTAAATTTTGATTTTGCTTTGTTTTTTTTTTTTTGTAAATTATTTATCTTTTAAAAATCTGTTTATTATTAGACATTAGTTTTAATTACAGTATTTATTTTCTCTTTAATTCTCTTGTTTAACTTATTATTTAAATTATTTTTCTGTTTAATGTGTCAATTTTATTTTTATTTTTTTCATTTTGTTTTATATTATTGGCTTTCCCAGCAATTGTTTTGTTTCTGTTTTTTTTCTGACATACATATTTCCTATCTTTTTGCACTGGGTTATTACATACTTTGGTCACTTTCCACGATTCGATCTTTTCCAAACTTTGTCCAAGCATAGTCCAATATACCAAAGACGTGCCTCCTAATATTTAGTGACAATTGGGATGTGGACATGAGGACCAATTACAGGGAATAAAGGGCAAATATACAATACCAGATATTCCAAAAACTGATCAACTGATCTGAATGAAACTTTCTGGAAACTTTAACCATGTTACAAGGTAAGTATTTTATTATCTTAGTGACCATCCACATTCGGATGTGAATTTAAGGGTCACTAAAATTGCTAAGGTCCCAGACATAAATATCTCTAATAATAAATGGATCTAAATGAAACTTTCAGAATAATTTTTCATGGTCCCATGAAGAAAGTATTAAATTTTGGTGACGATCTGGAGTAGGGTGTTGATATGAGGATTTTTAAAAGTCTCCATGTACCTCTCTATCACTGCAGCTATAGTTTGTGTCTCTCTAACGTCGCGTTAGTTGTGAAGTTTTTTCTAACTTCATAATTTACTTTAAGTAGTACTTAGCATTTTTGTTTTTTGTGTGTTTTTGACTTTATACTTTTTAATGACTTTTTTGTTGAAATGTGAACATCTCTTATGGCAATTAGGAAAAGCCCATGTTTTGTTGTACAGACATAGTAAGTCTAGGTTTAATTGTTTTCATTAAATTATTTATTTTTAAAATTATTTTCTGATTTTTTTTTCATTTTGCTGTTTTATTATAATTTATTTGTTTATGTTAAAGATCTAGTTTAATTTTTATTCTTTTATCTTAAATTGTATGTACTGAGAGTCCCAGTTGATCAGCTCTGGCTGGTTGGAACACCCTCACACAAAATATTTTCGAAATAAATAATAAATAAATAAATATTTAAACATGTTTTCATAATGCTCCCATAAATGGTTTTAAAAAATTCTATACAATTGGGCATCAGACGCAAATATAAATTTATTATTCTATGGTTCCAAAGATTTTCAATGGCTAATAGTTTCTCTGCCCTATAGAGGGCAGTAGACAAAAAAATGACAGAAAATTACTGTAACCAGTATCTATTCAAAAAAGTTAAAATTCCTTACAAGCTTATACCAACAAGGTTTGCTGCGTCTCATAGTGGACTGGTCCATGATGTCATCAGCAACAAGAAAGCATGCTTGCAACTAAAGGTAAAACACATGGCAGAAGACATTAAGGCACTATTGAGAAAAATACTTTTCTCAAAAAAGCAATCAATTAAGACGTCCATTTTACGTACCCCTTAGTAACAAGGGGGTACGTAAATTGAAAAATTTGTAAATTTCGTCAGTTTCCAATACCTAGGCCTAGGATCCCCTTCCATTGAGTGCCGATAGGTTGACGGTGGTCAGGCCTAGCACAAACCGACAGTGCAGCAGAATAGTCTACCGCTCTAGAGCCTGCTGAATTTACCTTCAATAAAAAACACATTATTTTAATCACTGGCATTCTTCCACTTAACAAAATATTATTTTAACTCTTATTCAAACATCTAGATGTTTTATGGACCTTTCTATCGTGTTCTTTCTAGTTATTAGATCACCTATTGTGTTGTTTACGTGCACTTCGCGATCATATCTAGCATTCACGATGTCAATAAGTTGCTGACCCCAACACTCTTGTTCGTCATTGTAAACATGTTCGTTCAATCCGACAATACTTGCGTTGGTATTTCGTTGTTCTTGTTAAGTTTATTATATTACTATAGGGATTATTATGCCAGAAATGGAAGAAAATACAACTTGATTTTATTAAGAAAAATATACATTCAATTTGCAAAACGTGCGCAATACTTGGTAATACTCGGTCGATGATGACATCATTACGGGCAAAGACCTTTCGTAAAATTGACTATTCGTAAAATTGACGTTCGTAAAATGGACGTTTTACTGTATATAAAATAATATATTTTTATAACATATATATTTCATTTAAAACTAATAAACCATCTTATGGCATATGAGGTTGTTTTTTTTTTAAATTGTTATGTTAGGACAATTTCAGCTTTAGTATTATTTATATATTTGAACTGCATCACTGTATATTACTTTAAGGTTGTAATGTATAACAGTACTGTATAGGGTAGCAGAATTCTGGAACCAATTTTCAACTATTATATACTATAACTCCATATTGTTGCAGATGATGTGGTATTGTATTTTTTTTTTTTGTATCTTTAGTAATACCTGAAATAGGATAGGACTCAAGCTGCAATCCCAATTCATGAAGACCCTCGGTCTAAGATCTTGTATCGTAGGCACCACAATAAAACGATGGCAAGCTTGCCAAACCAACAAAAAATATTCAAAACAATGACGAAATAATACTAACCAAGTGTATGTACTGAAATAAATTTAACAAAAATAAATCAGTTTAAAGAAAGATTTGTTGGCTTCAAAACGTATAATAATTTGTGTATCTGAGCCACACCAGCACGCACGGGCAAGTCGAGCAAAACCATACTATGGCTATAAAAAAATATCAAAACAAGCACCCAGTCGGTAGCGTAGGGCAACACAACACAACATATTTTTTTTTTTTTGGCCTTGTTAAAATGCTTTTTATCTACTCCGCCTAAAAATGTATATAGCACAGTATAATTTTAATTTAAAAAAACAAGGAAAAACCAAATGTTTATTAAAATAAATTAACTTACTAACTCCACACACCAGCCTAAAAGAACAGCCTTCTGTTGGTTTTTATCTGTCAATTGCTCAGGCAACGCAAGTGAATTGAAGGAACCAAGAACTACCATAGCACGATTCATTTTACCTCCGAACACATTGTAATTAATCATCTATCAGAAGATAAAACATGTTCATTTTTAAGTCTTTTTTATACAGTAGAAATGCTTATTTACTGCCAAATAAAATTTTAAAAATACAAATTATCCAGAAGAGGCTGCTTTCATCGTGGGGGGAGGGGAAGGATGCGAAAATTAAGAATGCGGAACTGGAAGGTGCTAAAATTAAGGAAGTGGAACTACATTGGGCATTTTTAGTATTTTAACTTATCTATTAGAACTAATTTCCTGCCATTGGAGAAGAGGTGCATTAGTACTCCTTCCACCCTCAGCCTAACGCCCATGTTATCATCAAAGAGTAATGTCACCCTGACACTTGCATGACTTTTGTCCTCGCATTGCTCGCAAAGCATTGTGGCAAGGCGTGCCATTTTCGGTGGGGGTGAAGCCATATTTGCATCCTGTACACACATATGTTATGCACTGTCTACGTAATGGCACTATTTGTTAACACATAAGTTAAGTATTGTCCGCGCATTGTTCACGTCTAACATACCACATTTTCACGCACAACACGTCTAGGTTCTGCTGTCTTCCCGCTGTTATAGCGTAGGTTTTTCTTCAACTCGCTGTGGACGATACGACATGCTGAATTCCAGAAACACTGTTATTGCAGAGCAGAGAGGATGTTTCTGGTAACTGCAGGACTATTACTTCTGCAAGAGCAGGAGAAAAGGCAGCAAAAGGAAGAGCATTCTTCATTGACACGCAGTTCATGCTGTGTTCATGCATGGTTCACGCATATAGCATGAACATTGATGCGTGCCAAATTTTTTAACATTTTAAAATTCTCTCTACATGGGACGCACCCCCGCACCCTTCACGTACTGCTCACACTTGTTTCTGAAGACTTTAATCATTGCCACGCCGAAGTGCACGCCAGTGCGAGAACGAAAATCGTTCAAGTGTCAGGGTGGCATAAAGAATGGCAATTGGCCCAACTCTCCTGACTTTGCATGCATGCAATGAAATGAAAAACGCAGTACAACAAGTCAGCGGTTGCCTTATATAATCTGAATACATTTTGAAAATTCGAAAGGCGTTCTATTCGTTGGAACAACTTTTACGTGTATATCATCTCTCCTGAAGGACGCCCTCTTAAGTCGTGGTAGTACTTCTCGAGATAGGATTCAGTTAAGATTAAGAAACCCAGATAATTGGACCTCTTACCATTCTTTATTCTTTGTTAAATATCATTCAATCATTTTTAAATTTCATTCAATCATCATTTAATTCCAAAATAGTGAGGCATTTCAGTTATCGCGATGATGCAACAGTTGAACACACTAGGAAAGTTTAATGTATTTAAAAAAAAATTTCAGCAGATTTTTTTATTTGTTAATACAGTACCTATTTTAATCATAAATAAATATAGATATGAAGGTAAAACAAACAGATAGACTGATATAGTATGAGAAACTTGTCTTGCTCTCACCTTGTCTAACTGGATGACAGCATCTTGCACTTCTTTCAGACCTTCTCCCCTCAAGTCTTCTGTTGCCAGTTGGAAAGCTTCTTTAAATTTTTCTTTGTTAAAACATCCTAAAAGGTTAGCAACTTTAGTTGTTGAAGTCAGGTAATGAGCATTTAATGTTTTATGTTGAATATGAGATCTAAATTAATAGAAAAGGGGAAAAAAGAAGATTATCTTATCAATAACCATGGACGACACTACATGAAGGTTATGGATTTGCATCCTATTAATTACTGTACCAAAAGGCAAGACTTTTTTTATACCTTGTTTATAGCGAACCCACCGACTGCAAATATTGATGATTTCGAAATAAAAATAAAATTTTATTTTTGGCCAATTAGCACACCAGCCGCCACAAAAAAATTGGAAATTTCAGAAAAAAATTTGATATTTTCTTTATTTTATTTTTACTATGCCCTCCACTGCCTTGAAATCTCCAAAGATAAAATATGTATATTTCTTCCTAATAATATAATTTGAAGCATTCAACCAGCCTCTTTTACATTCACCAATAAAATTTTATTTTTATTTTCTCCTCCGTCTGGACATTTTTGGCAAAACTATTTGCCAAATAAAAAAACAAAATTTTATTTTTATTTCGTCCTCCTCTGATGATCTTTAAAAAAATAAGTACGCAAAACAAGGAATAAAAAAAGTCTCGCTAATAAGTGCCGCTATAATTTTGAATAAGTGCAAATTTCAGCTAGATTTTGAGGTATCATCCGTGCAATTAAAAAACTTTACAGTATTGGGTTCACGGGAGAGTTTTTATAGCTTAACAGGCACGTTCACATAAGATATCGTGATAAAGTTATCATGATCTATTTATCATGATAACTTTAGCACGTTAAAGAAAACCGTTCACATAGAAACTGTTATCATGATCTAGTTATGCTAATGAGGTGCAGTGTTGCATGCAAACCACCGGAAGCCCTACCTCAGCGAAGTCTACTGCCTGGGATGACAGCGCGCGAAATTTTGTTTTTGTGTATCTCGCTGCTGATTTGAATTTGTTTGTCATGTTGCCCAAGTACTTTACACCAATTTTACCTTTATTATTGCAAATGTTCGAGTCCGCTGACTGTCAGATGCATACCACTAATATGCCTTATAATAATTTAAACGCTAGATTTAGTTAGAAATCAGAACATCGGAGGACAAGTTAACTTCGATGAACAACAGACTCGAGAGATGGGCGAAGTTTCGTATCCCTCCCATCTAGGCCTAGGCCTCCGTGCTAAAACCCTAAGGAGAAAACTGTGGAGGATAAAAAGATGACACTGTATCGGTTGTTATCCCTTCATATCCTCTCTCCGTTAATCGCCTGGCAATTTCTTTGTGTATCTGGGCTTTTTGCCTGCATTTTGTTTTCTAATCTTTCTATATCTTTGGTTCACTCCAGATTTCTACTAGATCTTGTTCCTGGTTGTACGTCCACTTGTGTCTCACCATTGTTCTTTCGACAATTAACTAATTACAACCAAAATATTATGAAAGATTCACTTCGTCGCTTCACTTCACCACAAAAATAAAAAAACCCGTGAACGATTAAAAGTTAAGAGGTCATGTGTGGTGATCCATTTCAACATGAGCGCTTATTGGTTGAATTCGAACTATGAATTAATTTATCATCCATGGTGTTGGGACTGAAACCCTGTTGCTTCTTCATGATAAGCGAACTCACGATGTTGCAGTTTAACGTGAAGTAGAAGATCATGATGAACTCGCTTCGCCGGTTCATATAGAACATCATGATAAACGAACTCACGATAAATTCTGAATGTGAACCTAATTATTGTGGCCTGACCTAGGCCTACATGGTGCTTTTTCTTTTAGACCACAATATTATTAATACTAGGGATTGGCAATCAAAATAACGTTATTTGGATCCGACAACCTTGTAATGGCTTCGGACAATTTCAGGCCTGGCTGTGTCAGACGGGGAGGGGTGCACCTTGTGCTACTACTCCGGGGATAGCCCCTTGCGCCACCACTCACTGGGGGACCGCCACCTTGCGCAACCACTGGTGGGGGGAGGGGCACTTGCCAAGTCGTTGGTGAGTTTAGACTTACATATGCACGTACCAAAGATAGTAATACTATAATAAAGTTACCTACCTACACACAGGCCTAGGCCGGTTCGTACTTGTTAATGCAGCAGAATGGAACGAACATTCACGGCTTCCTACCTTTAGTTTGATTGGCCTTGGCCTAGGCCTAGCCGCAGAACATCGTAAACTTGTTACGGAGTTCAAACTAAGATAAAGGAGTGGTAGTACTGTTCTTTCGATTGTGAATACCGAGTTCCTTATCATTTCTAGTAATATATATTCATGCTTGAATATTTTACACCTGTCTCGCCGCAGCTTTTAGAAATATTTATAAATTAAAATTGTTCTCACGTTTTTCGTAGGGTATTCTTTTAACCTGGTGAGGATATCGACACGGTCACTATGCACCAATCACATCACGTCTATTTTTCGGCTATCTTCTATCGCCACGGTCGCTCAAAAGAGGAGGAAGAATACGGGCCTCTTAAGCCACCCCTGGCGCTGGAACTAGCCCTTATCCATCAGAAAGCTGCAATCCAAATTGAAGGGCCAAAATTGACAAGCATGGTAGTGACAAATATAGAATTGAGTCAAGGCCACAATTATGATCAAATAACGAAAATAAATTAAAGAAGGGAAAAATACGATCATTGGCAACGTGTTGTTGAGAGTAAAATTATCTTTAGGCCTATAGATAAAATGCAATCAATTAATTATTAGACGGCAATCATCCACTAAATGAGTATACTAATTTTAATAGATTAGGCGAAACCCAGTTTATCGAAACATAATTTGCCTAGTCCATGGCCACTTTGCTGAAACCCATTTTGCTAATTCGTAAACTGAATTTGCCGAAACTCAGTTTGCCAAAACACAGTTTGCCGTCACTGTCGTACAAGTAGGCCTAAAACATATTGCTTTGAAAAATGATGAGTATGTCAGGGAGGATCGAGTCGTATTTATATACAAATTAAAAGGCAAAATATGGAAAACAACAATGCTGTGGGAAAACACAAGGCATAGGCCTATATAGTTAAAATCAGAAATTTAATAAAATGAAGGATTAGGCTTAAGCATCTTATCCCC